TGTGCCAGTGCCGTGCGTGGGGCTTCGCTGCCAAGGCCCCCTTCGTGCCTGCACGCCCTGATTTCCAGGCAATGACTCGCCTAGCAGCACACGGCTGCTGAGGGGTGCAGTCAGGATCTGAACCCAGGGCTCTCCACCTGCAGAGCCTGTGGATCTCCCTCTGCACCTTGAAGAGGGTCACCCTGGAGCCCGTGGGGAGGCCTGCTCCCAGGCTGCCCATCCCCCGGCCCTCCCAGCAGGCCCCCTGCAGCTTCTTGGGCTGTGCCAGCTCAGTTGGCATTGTTACAGGTGGCTCGTGGGGGCAGAAGCTGCGTCCACCCTTGATGACACCCACGGGACCCCCCAGCTCCCGAATGGCTCTAGAATACGGCCCCGAGAACGTCACCAGCGCACCCAGCTCCAAGCCTCTGAGAACTCGCTGAGGCCCTGCAGCAGGAAGTCCCCCTCCCGGGCTCCAGTCAGTGCGTGTTCTGCACCCGTTCTCCTCTCCCCTCACACATCTCCTCTTCCGGTCCCTTCCTCCTTCCAGACCCACAGTGAAGTCCACCTTGGGTGGCTCCTGACACACCCCCTGAGTGACAGGGGTCAGCGGCTCTTGCAAAGCCGGAGCTTGGTAAACAAATGATGCTTGCTGGAGGCGGGGAGGGTAGAGGGTGGCTTCCGGGCCATCAGGCCAGGTGTCCAGAGCATCTCCACAGCGCCAGGCTCTGGGCCCACTTCCCCTGGCAGGCTTGGCATTGTCACCGGCACCAGAGCCGCGGCTGGGCCCCTGCCAGCCTCCCCGGGTGCCCCCTGCCCGGCCTCCCTGCGTCCTCCCCAGCTGCAAACTCCAGGCTGGGAGGTCCTGTGCCCCTCATGCCGGGTTCCTTGGCAGAAACTTGGTACAAACTGTCCCACGAGCCCTCTGGAGGTTGCTCGAGTCCCGTCCTGCCACCCCACGCCTGCCTTGCAAAGACAGGAAGCTGGGCTGCCGCTGGATCCCTCCTTGCCAGTCTCTCAAGACCCGAGACTACACTGGGTGTGCCCTGGGGCGAGGGCAGGGGGCTGGGGTCAAGGCATCTGCTGGCAGCCAAGAGGGCACGCGGATGCCATACCAGGGGAGTGGGGGAGTGGGAAGTGACAGAGGCAGTGAGGCAGGGTCTCTGAAGCCGCCCCCCAGGGTGGCGCCATGGAGGGCCCGCTAAGGTGCAGGAGGCAGCCTGGGTGACAGCCTGGGCTGGCCCAGAAGTCTCCTCTCCACCGTCACTGGGGTTCAAGTGCCAGCTGGGCAGCCTCGAGCCCCTGTTGATCTTAGCTTCCTCACCCACAGAGCAGAGGGACTGGGTAGACCCTGGTCAGCCACACGGCTCCCTCTGCCCCTGCCGCCACTGGGGGGCCACCCTAAGGCGAGTGTGCAGGCCTTCTGGAAGGCAGTGTCTGCTGATATGGGGTGGGGGCCGGGTAGAGGGGATTTGGGGATAAGGGGGTGCCTTGAGGTGGGACCTGTGTGAGTGGGGCCTGAGCCTCGGGGGCCAGCTCAACTGGGAGGCCCAGAGCCTGCAGGACTCTCTTGTGGCTTGGCGGCTTTGCAGGAGCCGTCCCCTCCCCGTGAGATGCCTGCCCAGTTCTCTGCAAGGCTCAGGGGCAGCCCACTCACATGCCACCTCGGGGCTCCTGGCCCCTGTGCAGACCGGCCTGCAATGAGGCACAGCTGGAACCAGCCAGACCGTGAGCTCCTGCAGCCGGGCCTGGCTCTCAGCCTGGCTCTCCCTCTCCGATGCCCAGGCCAGCGCCTGGTACGGAGGGCTGGGAAGCACGGAATGGGTGGAGGGCCTTGTCCTCTGAGGCTAAACTCCCCCAATCCTCCCTCCACCCAGGGCAGGGTCTGACGCTCAGATGAAAATGGCCAGAGGCGGGAACTGGCATAGCTGGGATTCCAATGTCAGTTTGCACCCTGCCTGCATGGGGAATGCCACTCCCCACCCCACTGATCCAGGCAGGCCTGCGTATCTGAGACCCATGTCTTGCCTCTTACACGCTGGCTGGCAGAGCCGGTGTCCACCCCAAGCAGCCCGGACACTCAGTGTTAGGGCCGTCTACCACGGTCAAGGTGATTAATGCCAGGGCCTGTGCCCTGTCAGCAGCCACATTGATCACTGGGTACCGGGGCTGTTCTGGGAAGCAAGCTCACCTCCTCCCAGCGGGCAGCTGGGCCCAGCACAGGACGGGCCAGCCCACTCCCCGCTCCTGTGCCAGTGTGGGCACCCAAGGGAAAGCTGAGCAGCTGCACCCAGCCCCCTGGCCTCGCGGCCGGTGACCTGATAACTCTAGACAAGCATGTAAAACTACACCTCCACCTCCAGCCCCACGGGGCGCAGGCCAGTCATCCGACCACAGTCCCGATGATTGGATCTGACAGGATGGGTACCAGAACATGAGCTCAGGGCCTGAAAGTACAGTGTTCGTGTCTGGGGTCTGGGTCTGGCCTGCATAGGCTGCTGGGCTGGCTCCCTGCCACCTTCCACCTCCACCCCCAGCCCAGAAGGTGCACTGGATCCAGTCAGAGCACACCAGGGACCAAGGGAGTGCAGAGCCCACAGACTGGGCCATCCCCAGGGGTCCTGAGCAACCGGCAACACCCTGCTCCTCCCTGGGCAGACGTGGACGCTGCAGCCCAGAGAAGGGAGGGAACTCACTCAGGGTCACAGAGTGAGCAGCAGGAGGCAGGGCAGGCTTCCGTCCTGGACTCTGGACAACAGGCCCTTCCCGTGACTCTTTAAAAAAAAAGGGCTTTGGGGCCACCACTGTGGCATAGTGGGTAAAGCTGCCACCTGCAGTGCCAGCATCCTATATTGGCGCCAGTTTGAGTCCCAGCCGCTCCACTTCCCATCCAGCTCTCTGCTACGGCCTGGGAAAGCAGTAGAAGATGGCCCAAGTGCTTGGGCTGCCGCACCCATGTGGCAGACCCAGAAGCTCCAGGCTTCTGGCTTCGGATCAGCCCAGCTCTGGCTGTTGTAGTCATTTGGAGAGTGAACCAGCAGATGATGGAGGACCTCTCTCTCTCCCTCTCACTATCTATCTATAACTCTTGCCTCTCAAAAAAACAAAACAAAACAAAACAAAACAAAAACAAAAACAAAAAAACAAACCCTCACTCTAACTGCAAGGCTGGCCACAGGAAGTAGGAGCAGGTGGGGGTGACACAAGATGACATTTACGTGGCTGGCCTCCATCGTCTCCAGGGCACAGGAGAGGACGGCGGAGTGCAGAGAGGTGGTGGGACCAGCTGAGGTCACGTCCCTAGCAGGTGGCACACACACAGCCCCAGCCCTGAGACCCGCTCGCAGGGGTGCACCTGGGCCTGTGTAACTGCGGGGAACTGGGTGTGGATTCTGCAGCATCGGGGTGGCGGTGCGCACACACTGCCTTGCTGAGCCCTGGCACAGCCCGGCTGCTCACCAGGCTGTTCCCGGTGTGCTGCAGACACCCTGGGCCTTGCTGGCTCAGGGGCTGAGCACCACCCAGGGGAACGAGCAGGGAGCAGAGCGGCTATCCCGGATTCTGGCCCTCGGCCAGGCCTGGCACAGGGCGCTCTGGCCCCTCGTCAGCTCTCTGGCAGAGGGCCCTCTGGAGCCAGGCCCCAGATACAGGGCGTCCCAGAGAAGAGGAGATTCACAAGGGAACCCAGGGACTGACAGGGAGACAGAGCCACAACACAGCCCAGCCGGGAAGGCTGGTGCTGCCCCTGGCTTCCTGTCCCGGCCCAGGAGAGCACCATTCACCTGCCACGTGATCTCAGGGTGAGGGAGGTCAGCGTGTTGCCAGTGACTCTGAGCCCTCGTCAGCACCCCAACAAGCCAGCGCTCTGTCATGTGGCCTCTGGCGGTGGCAGGTGGGACAGAGGGGAAGGCAGGCAGAGGGTTTCACAGCTCCCGGGGTTTTGTGTCAGCTTTGGGCCTGGGTTTATGCCCCAATTATGTCACTAACTTCCTTTGCGCCCATGGCAAAAGTCTCCTTTCTCTGGGCCTCCATTTTCCTGTCTGTAAAATGGGTTGTAGGCACTCTGTTAGGTCTCACTCAGCAACTACACCGAACGACGGAGTCCCCTTCCCCTTACTCCTGGGCCTGCCCGCCCTGACAGCCATGCCTCGCGGATCAGAAAGACACAAAGGTTTCAAGGCAGCCACAGGAGACGGAGCACCACTTGGCTTCTTCCCAGCCCCTGTGAGGCCCAAGAATCAGGTCAGCCCAGCCAGCGGTTGGAGCCCAGGAAAGGGCCGCTCCCTCGGCGGCGGTGCAGCAAGCTTGGCTCAGCCACTTGGGCCAAGCACAGCCCTCTGGGAGCCTCAGTCTGCTCGCCTGCAGAATGGGGACCGTATGTTCCTCATCAAAGGGCTGTCACGAGGTTTTTTTTTTTTTTGGGGGGGGGGGGGTTGAGGCATGCTGTGAGCTTCCTACAGCCCTGGCTCACTGGCACGCAGGAAAGCTACTCCTGGTTGGTTACCATTAATCCTAAGAGACCCCTCCTCTTCCGGGAAGGCAGCAATGGCGACCATAAAGACTCCTCTGAGACACAGGCTAAGAGAAAATTGGAGAACTGAGGTCTCGGGGCCGGTGTGGTAGAGCAGTGGGTTAAGTGACTGCCTGCAGTGCCGGTGACCCACGTGGGCGCCAGTTGGAGTCCCGGCTGCTCCATTTCCAATCCAGCTCCCCGCTAAAGCACCTGGAGAAGCAGCAGAAGCCGGTCCAAGTGCTTGGGTCCCTGCCACCCATGTAGGAGACCCAGATGGAGTTCCAGGACCCTGGCTTCAGCCCGGCCCAGTCCTGCCTGTTGCAGTCATTTGGGGAGTGAAGCGGTGAATGGAAGGTCTCTCTCCCCCCGTCTCTATAACGCTTTCAAATAAAATACATAAACAGATCTTTCAGAACATGGACAGCCAGACGGAGGTCTGAAGCAGCTCACGCTGGCGAGGGCACAGCCGGGGCCTGCCACGCAGGCCGGGGCGCCGGGTGGTACTCACTTCAGGGACAGGGAGTAGTCGTGCTTGCTGGTCTGGCTGTTCCGGACAAGGTAGCTGCACTCCTTGCAGAGCCGCAGCAGGTTCTCAGCGTCTCCTCTGCTGATGGCTCCGTGATACCATCTGGGGAGAGGGCAGAGTGCGGTCAGAGCCCAGCAGCGAAGGGGCGCCCGCAGCCCTGGCACCCGGTTTCCTTGTCCCAGGCAGGTGTGTCGATCTTCGTCCAGCACCTGCTATGTGCCAGCTCCTGGGAGAGGGCAGTGAAGGGAGCTCAGGGTCCCCTCCCCCGGGAGGCTCATGCCCTGGGCACCGCATGGCTGGCCCTGTGGCCACCGGTCCTTGGGGATGACAAGGCCAGGTCGCACATTTCAGAGTTACAGAGGGTACCGACTCAGGGGCCACCCTGTCTCTATGATACTCGTGGGCAAACCTCCTCACTCAGGACAGGGCACAGAGCGTGGGGCAGCTGCACTGTGCTCCCATCCAATGGCGCTGGCACAGGCTGGCCACGTGGGCATCCAGGTCGTTGCTTCTGGACCACACGGCAGAGGAGAGCAGCAGAGTCGGGGGTGGGAGCACAGGAGCACGATCACAGGCTCCTAACAACCCGCTGCTTCCATGAGGGTCTCCAAGGGGCAGCTGGTGCTGGGTGGGGCAGCAGCTGGGGGTCAGGGTGACTCCTGCACCTGGCCAAGCCTCTGTCCTTTATCAGGTTAGGGTCACCCAGGCCCTTCTTGGGCTTGTGGGCACAGCTGCTGCAGAGCCTGGGGGGCGGGTAAGGTCACCAAGTGGCAGTGCGGGCACTGGCAGAGAGAGCCTGAACCGGCCAACCTCCACACACGAGCCCCTCATCTGCACCGCTGCGGGCTCCTGCCAGCCACCGTGGGAGCGGGGACATGCAGGGCCTCTGCAAGGTCTGTCACCAGCACTGCCGTGGGCTCCTGCCACTTTCTAGGCGGTGCCCTCCACAGCTAGCAGCGCGGCTGTGACAGTCACCACCAGAGCCGAGAACGCGAGGCCTGGGGAGTTATGACCGTCTCATCTGTGGGCTGACTAGGAGGTGGTCACGGAGCTGGCCGACCGGAAGGGAAATGTGTGTGTGTGGTGGGGTGCATTTACTGTGCAGACCCACACGGGTTGTCATGGTTAACCCGAGCCCAAGCTGTGCTTGAGACAGGAAGTGCGGCTGTAACTGGGAGATGCACGCGGAGCTGCCCTTGTTTGGCGAGAGCATCTCCCGCGAGTCTGCGTAAGGCAGCCCCAGGGAGCGACAAAACCAGCGTTTCATTAGGAAGCTGAGCCATCCCCAGGGAAGTCCTGCCCACCGTGTGCCCTACCAGGGGCGTGGGGTGGGGTGGGGCCAGGCAGGCCCTCGGCCTCTGGGTACTTGTTAAAGGTAATCCCCAGGGCTAACAGGCTAAGCTGCTGCTTCCTTCCCCTGCGGCTCCCTCCATGGGGAGAGAAAAGCAGGGGACTTGGGGCCGAGGATCAAAGGAGAGAAGGGTCAAAGGGCACCGTGTCAGGGGTCGGGAAGCTGGCTGGGCACTGGGCAGCCTGGACTCCGGCACTCCTGGGGGAGCTGTGCCTGGATGCAGGAGAGGCTCCAGGCCAGGGCATGCTGGGGGTGTGCTGGCCTTCCCGGAGCTGCTGAGTCAGGGCACAACTGGGAATCAGGGAGACTCCGCCACCGCCATTGTCCCGTCCAACATCCGGTAGCTCACTCGATGTTTACTCAGTGCCCGCCTCACCCCTGATCTCACGGGGCTAGCGCACGGAGCGGCAGTCAACAAGCGCACAGGAAGCCACTTCAGATAGCGGCGAGTGCTACGCGGGAGTACTGGGGTGCGGCAGGGGCTGTGCCTGCTCTGCAGTGAGTGGTCAGGGGAGGCCCCGGAGAGCCTGGACTGTGAGAAGGAGCTAGTCATATGATGAGCCAAAAACAATACCTCTGTAGAGGGAACAGCCGGCACAAAGGCCCTGGGGTAGGAAAGACCTGGGGCCGTCCACATGACAGGTGGCGAGAAGAGCTGAGCAGGGTGGGTGGCGAGGCCCAGTGGGCTGAGGCCTTGTGGGCCAAGGAAAGACATTTTGTTTTATCCTAAGTGTGCTGGAGTGGATAAGACTTTCACAGAGACGCTGCTGGTATTAGCGAGGGAGAAGCCACAGAACTTGGTAACGCAGCAGATGCTGGCATAAGGCAGCACGAGGACTCGACAAGACTCCACTGTGCAGTGTAACTCTGCAGACGTGGCTGGTACGGCGGTACGGAAGCCCGGGAAGGAGCAAGCTCCCCGAACAGCAGGAGTCGCATTCTGAACGTGTTAACCATGAAGCGCCCACTCGGCAGTCGCGATGCCAAGCAGGCAGCTAGGGGTGGGAGTCGGGAGCTCTGGGAGAGGTGTGGGCTGCAGCACCGTGCCTGTGAGTCAGCACCAGGATCCTGGGAGAGACTTCCCGGGGGGAGCCCATGGCAGGAGGCAGGGGGAAACCAGGCAGGGGCGGTCATCTGGGGGCCAGGCAGGAGAGGGGCACTGGTTGGGAGGGCGGCCAGCTCCTCGGAGACACCGTGCACTCAGGTGACGGCTGTCTGCTGAGCGCCTGGTATGTGCCAAGCACTGTTCTAGGCGTGGGGAGGCAGTGGTGACCCAGGCAGGTCTCCACCCCAGGGCGTGTCTGTGTTGGAAGGGGGCAGCAGCTGGTGAGGGGTGGCAGGGCAAGGCTATCTCCTCTCTCCCTTACGTGGACAGTTTGTGACCAGAAGATGGTTAGATGCCGACGGGGACAGTGGTGCAGGAGGCAGGTGTGCTGACCCTGGGCGCCAGAGCAGCCTTTTCCTCCAGGGTGTCCAGGCACAGGTGCGCCAGCCGGTCCTCAGCAACCACCCATCGGACCTGAAGGTGTCTCCTGAGCTTGAGGCCTCGTCAGCCCGGGTGGGCGGACAGGGGACCCTCTACCTAGCGCAGCAGGCCCTGCGGGAAGTGGCGTATGGGCGATGAGTCAGGACTTCTGGAAGGCCGGGGTAATCCTGGGGAGCAGGGATGATGAGGGAGGGAAAGCAGGCAGGACTCTGGACCTGGCCGAACCTTGTTGGGCGGGAATGGAAGAGGCAAGGGAACTGAGCAGCGTGGGCCTAAGGGCCCGGGGAGGGCAGGCCTGTGGACCGGACCCCAGGCCTCTGTGCATCGTTCCGTGCTTGCTGATGTCAACGTGCAGTCTGATCAGAAGTAAGCAAAAGGGCAGTGAACCAAGCTGTGAGCACGGGTTCAAGTCCAGCCCCCTGCTAAGACGCCTGGGAAAGCAGCAGAGGGTGGCCCAAGTGCTTGGGCCCTTGCACCCACATGGGAGACCCGGATGGAGTTCCTTGTCTACAAGCCCCAGCCATTGCAGCCATTTGGGGAGTGAACCCAGGAGATGGAAGATCTCTGTCTCCGTCACTCTGCCTTTCAAATAAATAAATCGATCTTAAAAAAACAACAACAAGAAGACAGACCTCGGCCAGTTAGCCTGCGTGGCTGCGACAAAGGATGGACAACCAGCGGGAGTGGTGGTGCTCCCCAGCATAGTCCAAAGGCAGGAGCTGGGTGGCCTCCAGGGCTGGCAGCTCGGGCCGACACTGGGAAAGCCTGCGTCCTGCTCTCTGAGCGACCCTTGCCCATGAGGGAGGCACTGCAGGTTGCACCAAACACAGAAGCCCCAGGCCAGGCCGAATACGATAGGCGCCACACGCCAGAAAGGCTCCCAGGCGGGCGTGCTGGTGGCTGCCAACCCTTGAGCCAAGTGTGTGCTGTGTGAGGTCGCACGGGGAGCAAGGGCGGGGAAGCGAGGCAGTGTGTGGGGTCAAGGGCAGGAGGCTGGGGTGCACTCCAGGCTGTGAGGCCCCAGCCAAGGCTCTGCACCTCCCTGGATCTGGATTTTCTCATCAAGGCAGTGACGGTGCGTTTGCTTGTGAAGCCAATCACGCACCCGAAGGCACAAAGTTCCTGGAGAAGCTCACTCTAGCCGAGGGATGTGGCATGGTAAGAAAGGGGAAAGGACTTTGGGGGCGACTCCCAGAGCAAATGGTAGGCTGGTGAGATGGAGTTCCACCCTGCAGGTAACAGGGAGCCCCCGAAGGCTGTGGAGCAGAGCCGGGAGATGATAATTACGGGTGGCCGAGGGCCCAGCCCAGCGCAGCGCTGGGGGCAGCGAGGAGCAAAAGGGCGTGAGAACTGGGGGCCAGCACGAACGGGACCTGGCCACTGAGCAGAGGGGAGAAACGCCTGGGAAGAGAGACGGAGAGAGGGGAGGTCTTGCGCAACCGGTATGCAGCAGACGTGCAGAAACAGGACCGCGGCCAGAAAAGAAACCCAGCTGACTCCAAGTCTCACGCTTAGCTTTTCAAGAACTCATCTGCTGCACGGTGAGGACGAGCAGTGCGCACAGCTGTGTGGGCCCTTCCACTCGCCCTCGGAGGCTACGCTGGGGACAAGATGCAGGGCTGGGGGCCCAGGCCTGTTGCTGACTGGTAGGGGGCTCCTGGTCTTCCACGAGCCTCAGGCCCTAGATGAGGGGGAAGCAGGGGCGGAGAGACCCCTGGAGCTCTGCCAAGCCCCGCCCCAGAGCACGTGCTGGAGCGAGGGGGGAGTCGTGAGGACACCACTCCTGCAGAACTCACATTTGCTTCTCCAGCGGCACAGCGGGGTCTACTCTCTCTCCCAGGATCCCGCAGAACTCGGGGCTGCCATGTTTGATGGGCTTGAAGCCCCCACCAGGAGCACGAAGCTGACGCCGCCGGTCCCGGGAAGGCGAGGGGGACGACTGCCGCTTCTCACCGCCGTTAAACTGGGCTGCGGGGGAGAGAAAGGTCGCAGTTACCAGGAGTTCAGCCTAAGGAGACGGGGGGCGGGGGAGATGCGGGGGGCCTGTCTGGCCGTTCCAGCTGCTGCTATGCAACTGGCAGGAGGCAGAGCTGCTGGCAGAGCGAGCCACGGCTGGCCAGATTCCGGCTCCTGAAGACAAGACACAGGTGCTGCCCACCCACACGGCACGTCTGAGGGGCTGTGTGTCTCCAGCGAGGGGCAAGGCCCCGTCCTCTGCTCGGTTCTCAGGGGATGAAGTTCTTCCTCCTATCCATTGTGCCAAAACCTGCCTCCAAGTGGCTTTTCCCCTCCTGTCCTGCCCGGGGCCACTCCGGCCACACCTACCTCCTTGCTCCCATGGAGCTCCACTCGGGTCCCCTAACGCTGCTCCTCTTCATTCTGATGGCCTTGCGTGGGCCCCTGGCACAGACTGCCTGTCTTGGACCTGGCCAGCATCCACCTGAGGCCAGCGCGGTGAACCGCATCTAACCGGCTTCCCTCGCCACCCTGGGCCCGTGGGGGTGCCGCTCACCCCAGGGCCCTGCAGATACCCCACAAACAGCTGAAACCAGAGCTGCCAGAAGAGCTCCTGGGAAAGAGCCAGTCCCCCTTTAGCCCACCTGTGGGCCTCAGCTTCTCTCTTAAGTACAGGAATAGCAATGGTACCTACCTCCTGCGGCTTCAACCAGGCGCCTGTGGGGAGCCGCTGCATAATATTTAACTTAATGAACTTCATAAATATTTACTTTTGGGACCAGCATTGCTCCACGGTGGGTTAAGCTGCTGCTTGCCATGCTGGCATCCTTATCACAATGCTGGTTCGAGTGCCGGCTGCTCTGCTTCTGATCCAGTTCCCTGCTAATGCACTTGAGAATGCAGTGGCAGATGGCCCGAGTACTGGAGCTCCTGCTGCCCACATGGGAGACCCGGATGGAGTGCCTGGCTTCGGCCTGGCCCAGCCCTGTCTGCAGGGCCCATCTTGGGGGTGAACCAGCAGATCTTTGTCCCCCTCTCTGTCATCTGCCTTTCAAATAAACAAACCTTAACAAGAAATAATTCCTTTTATCACTACCATGCCTGCTCAATGCAGATACAATACCAGGGGCTTCGTGTAAGGTAGCGAGCTGATCTGAGCCCCTCTGTGAAGCCTGCCAGAGACCAACTCTGTGCCCTGCCTGGGTGACTGAACCTCTCAGAGTCCCCACACAGCTGTGAAAAGGCGCCCAGCACACACAGGATGCTGAGCAGACCAAGCCAGGGCCGGCACAACGCCCAGCTGCAGGCCCACGTTGAGCCACAAGAAGGCAGAGCCTCCTGGCCAACCAGAACGCCAGGCCGTGCCTCTGACCCGATACGCAGCACCCAACCCTCGCTCCTGGAAGGCACTGGGGAAGCCTTGCCCTGATGGGTGCATGGCACTGTCCACCAGGACCCAGGAGCGGGCGTCAACCCGTTCTAGTTTCAGCCACTGAGCAACAGCCACCATCCGGGACCTGCAAACACTTCTGCCCCTCCAGGGCCCGGCAGACATCAGGGAGGGCCGCCCCATCCCCGGGGCTGTGCCCTGCAGCCCGACCTGGCAGGCAGCCTGTCACCTATGACCCTCCACAATGCGCACATACGTGGCGCTAGGCATAGGTCAAGGCCAGGGAAAAATCCCCACCTGCCGCCCTCTTCCAAGAAGCTTCCCCTGACCTCACCCCCGCTCCAAGCCCCACCTCCATCTCAGCCCATGGCACCCTGATGACCGGTTTCCTTGCTGGGTGCCCAGCGAGCCCGAGGGGCTGAACCACATGTGCCCCAGTCTCCACACCTAGCACCGGACCTGCCACATGAACAGGTGTTCAAGGGAGGAGGATTACATGAAGAAACCTAATGAGCTGCTGTTTTGCTTTATTGAGAAAAAATACCAGTTTTCATACCCGATAAATTGGATAAATCCTCCGAATGTCCTAGTCAACACTGTAATTCCCCACTGAATTAATTTATACATTCACTGGCAAGCTTAATAATAGAGCCATATAGTGTAGAGAGAACAGGTGGTGATGACTGACAGGCTTAATTAGGCAAATCATTTCACCTAAAATACAAATATGCAAACTCCCGAGTACAGCAAAAGAAAAAAAAATTAAGAACAAAAGCTCTAAACACAACTGCTTTCATTCCTTCTAATTAAGTTTCTCTTTAATCTGCAATTTAAAGTGGCAATTCTTTTACTTTAGTGATTTTTCTGCAAAAGATAAAGACACAATCCCTCCAAAGAATATCTGCGTTTAGAGAGAATGTGCTCCCCCGTGAGTTGTTGGGACGAGGGAGCCTAACTAATCCCACCTATAGGCAATTAAAAATGGAAGTCGGAACCCTGCAGGGGTGCAGCGAGGCCAGGCACTGGGGAGATGAGGCGCCGGACTCCGTCTGACTTCAGCTCCATTGACACAGGGACCAGACCCCTGTGACTGGTGGAGGGGTCGCCTGGCTCATATCCCCCAGCGCTCAGCCAGACGGCACCTCTGTCTCGTCCCACACACCTTCTGGAATGTTCTGGCCTGGAGACAGGACTCGTCCTTTAAGACCCGGCTCCTCTTCCAGGCTTTTGGGGCTCTCCACGTGGAATGGCAGACCTGACATCCACCAGTCCAATGACAGGAGATGACCCGAGGCACCTCCCAACAAGCTGGCCGTGTGGGCACCAGGCGAGGAGGAGAGGCAGAGGAGCCCCTCCAGGGTCTCGGAGGAGGGCTCAGGCTGTGGTGTGCATACAGGGGCAAGGGGACCTCCAGGAGAGGCTCCCCATTTCAGGGGTCTTCCTTCCCCACACACACCCGGAGGGCTGCCCACCTACTCCACTTTAGGGCGTCTGGAAGCCTCCTAGGCCTGGCACACCCCCTCCAGCAAAGCTTGCTCCAACCCCACCTGCCGAGAGCTCACAGCCCCTGGCGGCCCCTCCCCAGGGCTCTCCCATCAGCTGGGGTGTCCTAGAGGGCAGTGTCCAGGGCAGAGGATCCAGTGCCTCTCTGCCCGCTCCAGGCTCGTCTACCCTGAACTCACTGCAGTGCCTGGCACGGAGCAGGCACTCTGAAAGGGTGTGCCGGGGGCCTGCGTGTGGAGGAGTGGGTTAAAGCTGCTACCCGCAGTGCTGGCATCCCAAATGGATGCCGGTTCAAGTCCTGGTCACTCCACTTCCGATCCAGGTCCCTGCTAATGCATCTGGGAAAGCAGCAGAAGATGGTCCACATGCTTGGGCCCCTGCACCTATGTGGGGGACCCATATGGAGTTCCAGGTTCCTGACTTCGGATCGGCCCAGTTCTAGCCATCGCGGCCACTTGCGAAGTGAACTAACAGATGGAAGATCCCTCTCTGTAACCGCCTTCCAAATAAATAAGTCTTGAAAGAAAGTGTGTACCCAGAGAAATAAACGTATCCCCATGGGGACCACTTCCTTCCTGTCCAGTGCTTGGAGCTAGCCAGAGAGCAACTCCCCAAGCAGATTCTCCTGGGCTACACACTCGCTGGCTCCCCAGTGCCCCACAGCAAGGGCCTACTCCCCTCTGGGGGGCTTGTGGTCCTCAGGGAGCCGGCTCCAGCCTGACCTTCCAGGTGCATCTTCCCCTAGAAAGCCTTTGGGGCTCCCCCTGTCCACGGTGTCCCTTTCTTCACCATTGGGGTCTGCACAACTCCCTGCCAGTTTGTGCAGTGCGGTTCCAATGCTACCTCCTGGGCAAGCTTTGCCCCAAACCCCAGCCAGGACACCTCTGCCCTCTGAGCCCCGAGGCCCCTTGCTTACACCATGGCCCCTGCACTGGACGGACGCTCCACAAGACGGGGCTTTGTGCCTGCCTCCTCTGAGGCCCGCACGGCCGATATCCAGTTCCGTCGCACAGCCCTGGGGTTGATCCTCTGCCGCTGTACCCAACTATGTGATCCTGGGTGCGTCCTCTCTGAGCCTCAGCTGCCTTATCTCTGTGCCGGGCTGGGACAGCTGCCCAGTGGAGAGCTGTGGAGGGGTAACAAGGTCCAGGTCCCCCACTCCATGGTCACGGGTGAGCTCATAACCGCTCCTTCCATAGATCAGACGCCACCTTCTCTCCCCGGACTCCTGCTAGAATCCCCAAGCCGCAAGCACCACAAGACCTCCACTTGTTAATCAAGAAAGTCCACTTAGGAACTGGACCTCCACTCAAATGGTCCTACTGGTTTTGAAAAATGCCATACTCTTTACTTAGCACTTCCTGTGCGTGAGAGGCAGGGAGGAAACCTGAAGGGCAGCTTCTCTAAAAATCCACTTGTTTGCCTTGAAAGGAAGAGAGGAGACAGGTAGAATCTACCATCTGCTAGTCACCCCCCAAATGCCTGTAACAACTCGGCTGGGGCAGGGCTGAGCCAAAGCAGGGAACCCAATCTGAGCCTCCCACATGGGTGGCAGGGACCCAAGCACTTGGGCCATCACCTGCTGCTTCCCAGGGTGCACACGGACAGGACGCTGGAATCAAAGTGGAGCTGGTGGGCCGCCACTATGGCACGGTTGGTCAAGCCACCGCCTACAACACTGGCATCCCACACGGGCGCCAGTTCGTGTCCTGGCTGCTCCACTTCTGGTTCAGCTTCCTGCTGATGGCCTGGGGAAAGCAGCAGCAGATGGCCCACATGTTTGGGCCTGCACTCACATGGGAGACCTGGATGAAGCTCTTGGTTTGGCCTGGCCCAGCACAGGCCATTGTGACCATTTGGGGAGTGAGCCAGCAGATAGAAGATCTCTCTCTCTATAACTTTCAGAATAAATCAATCTTAAAAGAAGCGGAGCTGGAACTGCGACCTGGGCACTGCGACGTGGGATGTGGCGTCCCAGGTGTCACCTTATCTGATGCGCCAGCACTGCCCTGCATGGCTGTCCCCGGAGGTTGGTGCTGTTAATGCCCATGTTTCCAGGAATGAGGCCTGGTGTCAAGGACTCATGCCCCGCACAGAGAGCACAGGCTGCCGCACCAGG